TATCTTGGATATTTCCTTTTAATCCCAGTGACTATAGTTTTCATTTCTAGGGTTTTCAATGGTCCCTTTTCATATCCATCTGTTCTTATTTAATTTCTGCCTATTTTTTAAACCCTTGCCTAAGGATATAGTCATTAATTTGAGAGGGAGAGAGAGAAATATCAATATAAGAGAGAAATATAGATCACAGTCTGAGTGTCTGTCAGTAGATGAGGGTATAAAACAACTATGGAACATTCACACAATGGAATTCTACATGGCCATAAAAAAAGAAGAAAATTTTACCCTCCGCAACAATATGGATAGATGGGGAGAACATTATGCTAAGTGAAATACACCAGCAGAGAAAGGCAAATGCTATATGATTTCACTCATGTGTGGAACCTAATGCAAAAACTGAACTAACAAGGAAAATGGGGACAGACCCATAGACAGAGAGTTGGGTGACATCTAGGGGCAGGAGGTGAGGTAATGGAGGGATGAACGAAAAGGAAAAAGGATTCATAGACATGGACAATAGTATGGTGATGCTAGGGGGAGAGGGGTATTAGGGGACTAAATGGTAATGAAAAATATATAATAAAGATTTAAAAAAAAAGAAACATAGGTTGGTTGCCTCCCATACACGCCCAACTAGAGATTCAAACTGCAGCATAGGTGTGTGCCCTGACTGAGGATCTAACCCACAGTCTTTTGGTGTACAGGACAAAGTTGCAGCAAGCTGAGCCATCTGGCTGGGGCCTGCCTGCTTTTGTTTCATAATCTCATGATTTTGTTATGGATTCGATGCCTATGTTACTCTCTCTTGATCATATTGATTTGAAAATCTTTGTTAAAATCCTGTAACAATGTAGATTATTGATTTATAGAAGATCCTGTAGAGTTGTGTAGCATAATGATTTCATTTGGAGTGAATTTGTTTTGATTGCTCTTTTATTGGCTATTAGCATTATATTTTTAAAAAATCTATTTTGAGTGAGATGTTATTCCCCAACCACCCATGTTCACTTTTCCTTTTATGTTGGTTTTCAAGTTCCTGTCACCCAGCTCCCTTAGAGTCTTCAGTACATCCATTATGAAGGTAGCTCAGGGCACATAATACGAGGGCTTGTGCCATGGATCTAGTTACTGAGCCAGCAGGTGACTTTGTTTACTTTCAAGCCTTCGTGTGTGTCCTCTTGCTTTCAGACCTCCAGTTACAAATAAATTATAGCCCAAGATGCAATTAGTGGCTTTTAAAAATTTTTCTCCCTAGACTTCTCTCATAAACGTGGACAACCCCTAACATCAAAGAGTGAGCCCTGATTCCCTAACTCCTGAGGAGCTGAGCTCCTAGTGTTAGATCGAGAGCCTAGCAGCCCCGTGGCTTCAGGCCTGAGCACTGCCTTTTCATTTCTCATATTTCTGGCTCGTGGAGATTCTTGTCTTGTCTTTGAGACTGGTGATGTCTATTACTGCTGTGTATTTGGAGTAGAGCAAGGGGGTACTCTGAAGCATGCACTCACTGTGCCAACTTGACTGGAGGTTTGTTTTAACTGGAAAATAATCGGATATGTTTGAGGTGCTTCTCTCCCTCCCCACCACCTTCCTCCACTCTCACCCCTGATGCATTGTGGAGGGTAGATTGAAAGGGAGGCTAAAAATAAGTAAAAAATTTGGAATTCCACAGCAACAAATCACCAGGGAGATGTAGAGGAGAGAGTGGATTTAGAAGATATTTAATATGTATAATCAATAGACATGGATTATTGAATTGAATTGGTGAGTGTTTATAATTCTGGCCTAAAATGGGGGTAAAATTCACCGGGAAAGGCATATGGGCAGAAGAGCAGATTTTGGTAGATCAGCGGGTCAGGAGTGGAAAGAGAACTGTTGAGATGTTTTGTAACTGCTGTGTGAAGCCCAATACGTGCTCTGCAAGTCTGGTGTGTATCTTTCATGCTGGCGCATCTCAGTGCTCAAGGTCTTGGAATTTGCCATGTTTCCAAGTCTCTTTGCATGGTGTTCAGATATGAATTTATAGAGACTCCCTCCCTGTATTTGGGGAGTTTTCCTCAGTGTATTCATTTATTTATTTAACAAACATTAAGAATCTCCTAAGCAACCTTGGCTGATATGGCTCAATGGCTCAGTGCTGTCCTGTTAATGAAAGGGTCACTGGTTCGATTCCCAGTCAGAGCACATGCCTGGGTTGTGGGCCAGGTCCCCAGTTGGGGGCATGTGAGAAGCAACCACACATTGATGTTTGTCTCCCTCTCTTTCTTCCTCCCTTCCCCTCTCTAAAAAATAAATAAAATATTTTTAAAACTTTTTTAAAAGAAAAAAATTTTAAGCAAACATGTATAGCTCTGGCCTTCGTGGATGTTATACACTAGTGGAGGGAAAAGATACTTACCAAATACATGGGCCATTTACAACATATGAAGGTACAATAAAAACAAGTGTAGCTCTGGCCAGTGTGACTCAGTTGGAGTGTCATCCCATAAACCAAAAGGTTGAGGGTTTGGTTCCCAGTCAGAGCACATGCCTGGGTTGCAGGTTTGGTCCCCAGTTCAGGTGTGTGAGAGGCAACCAATCTGTTTTTTTTTTTTACATTGATGTTTCTCACATTTCCTCTTCTTCCCCCAGCTCTTCAAAATCAATAAGCATGTCTTTAGGTGAGGATTTAAAAAAAAACAACGTAAGCGTAGGTGCTCTGAGAGTGTGTGAAAGAGGGGCCTAACCGAGTCTGCAGCCCTGATGTGTGTGTTGGGATGAGTGTGTTGGATGAGTGGCCCATCTCTCAGCAGAAGACTTTTCTGAATAAATGAAGTCTGAAGTCTTCCCTCTAGCAGGTGCTTTCTTCTGGCATTATCTGCATAGCTGGCTTTTTGCTGTTCAAGACTCAACTGATAATGGTTACTCCCTCAGCAAGGCATTTTTTACCACACCCCAAATTAATGTTTAGCATATCACTCTTCTTTATTTCCTTTAACGCATTTATTTTTATCCAGAATTATTATGTTTAGGGACCTCGTCTCTCTTTTTCTCACCTGTGCCCCCACTGTTCAGAACATTTCCTTAAACTTAAGTGTTCAAGAAATGATTAAATGCGAATAATCTTGGGCATCGGTCTGTTGCATGGTTGGTCTGTGATTTCCATGTCCTCTACCTCTGCTGCCTTGAGTTTAGGAGGACTCCTCAGCTGGCCTTTTACTCATTTACTTTTCTATTGCATTGACCCTCTCCTTACTCTACTGTGTCTGCTAATGGGGGTTGCCAAGAGCAACATCCCACTCTCTGGCCATAGTGATGGGCACATGGGCCAATCACAAGCTGGGCCAATCCGAGCTATCCTCCTGGATTTTTCAAATTTGAAGGAAGGAAGAAGGAGATTTACCAGGCGGCAACCTGTGAGGCATGAACCTGGCACTGTTTATAACCATATCCACATCCAGATTGAAGAAGCCAATCTGCAACAGGAGAAAAGGCACCATACAGAGAAAAGTAGAGACAGGAGAGGAGGAAAGAGTCCTTCCTGGTAGTTCTAGTCTCTGTTTCATCTGAACCTGAGGCCCAGTTGCAACCTCTGATGTTCCCATGGCCTTTGCCTTAGCCAGTTCAAATTGAGTTTCATCACTTACAACCAAAGATTCCAATTAAAAACAGTATATCGCTTTATTTTTATTTTAACTTTCACTTCAACCAACAAGTTTTTCATCTTGGTGTGTTTTTAAAAGACTTTTAGGTGTTTATTTTCAGAGAAAGGGGAAGGAAGGGAGAAGGAGAGAAACATCAATGTATGGTTGCCTCTCACCTGGCCCAACTGGGGACCTGGCCCACAACCCAGGCATGTGCCCTGACTGAGAATCGAACTGGTGACCCTTTGGTTCACAGGCCAGCACTCAATCCACTGAGCCACACCATCTAGCAGGGCTCATCTTGATGTGTTTTATACAATATCTTTGGATATTGATCTCTTGTATAGTTTAATTCCTTATTTCAGAGAATCTGTATTTTCTCCCTCTCTTTGCCTCTCTATGCTTCTCTCTCCCTTTCACCTTCTCTCCTTTCCCTTCCCCCCATTCTTTCTTTATCTCTTTCAGATACAAAGCAGTTGCAGCCCAAGCTATTCTATTTCTAGTACTATTTATTTTAGTACTGTGAATCTTTCCTGTTTTAAAAAATGCATTGGTTAAAAGTCAAGTAGATATCATCTTATTTTTATCATTGTTTAACCCATCCTTGGAGCAGGTTTATTGGGTTTTCAGATAGGAAACTGGGACCCAGAGAGGCCACCTGATTCTGAGTCTTACAGATAATTAAGGATAGCATCTCGGTTAGAGTGCAGTCTCAGACTGTGCTCTGGCACTCTACTTTGGGCATCAAGTTGATAGGAGTTTATGCCAATGAAAAGCCAGTTGCCCTCCCTTCACTTGTCCTACCCAGTTGTATCCCTCTCAGGTCACATATATTAACAATGTGGTGGACATGCAGTTGGTTGGCTGCCTGCCCATTCATTTATCCATCCATCCATTTATCAATCTATCCATTTATCCATCCATCCATATCTCTACTTCTTTCTTCTGTATATAAATACAGGTTTATATTCCCCTTTGCTTTACAGATTTGAATCATGCTATGCATATTATTTTAAAACTTTAGCCATAGGTCATGGTCGTACATCTAGGTCAGCATACCTAGATTTAATTCATTCCTCTTCTTCACCTATTTTGTTTGATTTATTGCAGAGTAAGTAGTGCTTTTAAAAGTGTATTTAAAGTGAAAAAATGTAATGCCAGTGCATGATATAATTTAATCATATATTCATTTACTTCCTGAAGTATAAGAAAAGGAATATATTTATTGATAATTCTACTTAAACTTAGGTTTCCCTCTATTTGCCACAGGTTTTCTTCACTTTGCTAACATATTCATTTTTCCTAATTTTCTTTTGAATAAAAATTAATTGTAGCCTTAACTAATATTTTTTTCCTAAGGAAATTCAATGTATTTTTCAGGTTACTATATCAGAGAAAAGTCTAAGCAAGTCCTATCATTGCTGATGGATGAGCAGCTGGTGCATAAAGAGAGGGAAGTAGCATGTCGGACTAGACGGCGTAGCTCCTACCCTGTGACGTTCTCTGAGAGGTTACCTGCACCAGGTAACTCACCAACCGCCTGGGCTTCTGACCCCACACCAGAAGTTCCTGCTTCGGAGAAGAAGTGTAAGCTTCTTAAGGTTTCCAGGCTACGTAAAAAAAGTGCGTATAATGAACATTAGCCTAAAATGCAGTACCTATTTGATGACAACTAAAAAATATAAAACATAACTTTTAGTCCTAACATGTTAATATTATAGTAGTCCTGGTATTAGTGTATTAGGCATTATACTATAGAGAACAAAGATGAAGAATTCAGTAGAAAATTTTATGGCTATTTTCTGAATGCAATTATGTGGGTTTCAAATAAAATGACTTTGAGCTTAGAAAGTATTAGACAAGTGAATTCCCTACTTTGCATTCTGATTGATTCCTAAGATTTCAATCATAACTAGAATGTGAAGGAGAACTGTTTTCTGAGACGAGGATCAGGGTATGTGTGCACTTGTGCCGTTTGATCCTACAAATCAGGAAATTGGCATTTTCCTAAATGTAACTCAAAATTCTAAAATTGTTCTAAAACTCTTCTAGGGCAATGCCTTGTTACATAACCCTTTCCTTTGCCTAAAATGTTAATTCTGGACTACTGAAATTTTTAAAAACAGATTTATTCACAATGTTATAATAGAAATTAGCAGGAAAATGAAACCTCTTCTACACAATTTTTTAAAAAAAAACATAAAGAACTATCATTTTGCCCTAACTTCTCCAGTAAAAAACCTGTTTTGATAGGCTCTGTATAAGGAGTGGACAGGTTGAGGGTACAGAAACATTCATGAAATGTGACTTAGATATCTGTCCCTTGAAAGGAACTGAACTTTGTGCCGTAAATGAGGGGCATAGTAAGAGTAGCATATAGTTAGTTACAAGTATTTTCAGAGGCTTGCCTCTAGCTTTATGTAAATCTATTTGTCAAGATCCTGAAAGAAATGCAAGTATCCAAATGTCAGTTAAGTATGAACATTTAAAAATGTTTATACCAACACAAACTAATTCTACCAAAAACCACTAAAGCACCTGTCTGACTCAGTCAGGAGTTCTCAAGTATTCACTCAGTCTGTGCTTGTGTGGAGTGGGGAGATGGAAACACAGTAAAGACGCAGCTACTGTGGTTATGAGTAAACCCCCCCAAATTCTTCTAAAAGGTAATGGAACCCCCTTCTCTAGGATACTCATTCCTTTGGAACAAATATCCAAAAGAGACACAGACCCATTCCGAAACGTTCTTATGGAAGCCTCGGAGTCAAACCTCTACTGCTAAGAAGGAGTAACAGTAGAATAACCGATTACGTCTCCTCCGGAATTTTTTCATCCCTTTTGCTACTTCTCTGTTAGCTTTCTTGCTCTTCCTTTTTTCATTTCTTCTCTCTCTTCTTTTCTCTTTTATTATAAACATATTTGTTGAGTTTATTTTCTGAAATTTGTATATCTAGAAGAAACGTGGAGCTAGGAATGTGTATATCTAGGACTGAATAAAGCCCCTTTCATCATGGAGCAAATACTCCAATGACTGAGGCAGATATTAAAGACACACAAACCAAACAGAAAACTATGTCAGATAGTAGAGTAACAATTACTATTTTTTTAAAGGAAAGCAGTGTCAGGGACAGAGAGGGACAGTGATGACTTTATTTTAGGTCAGGTAATAAAGGAAGGCCTTTTGGAGGAGGTGAACATTTAAACGGAGACCTGAGGGAAGTGAGCCCATAATTCATGTAATGGCTGGGTGTTCCAGGTACAGGGAACCGCAGGTGCAGATACGCTGGAATGGGAGCAAATTTGGCATCCTTAGCTATAAGCTTAGGAAATGAGGCCCTGAACGGCTGTGGAACTAGCTCATCTCTGAGCTGTTTTTATGATTCATACAAGGAAGTCTACTTTATTGTTTTATGGTCACTGCTTTTTAAATTTTTTATTTTTTTAAATATTTTATTTATCTGTTAAAAGAGGGAAAGGGAAGGAGAAAGAGAGGGAAACAAACATCATGTGTGGTTGCCTCTCGCATGCCCCCTTCTGGAGACCTGGCCTGCAACCCAGGCATGTGCCCTGGCTGGGAATCCAACAGGTGATTCTTTGCTTTGCAGGCTGGTGCTCAATCCACTGAGCCACACCAACCAGGGCCACTGCCTTTTTAAAAAACTCAAAATGATATTCCCAGCTTTGTGACACATTTTATTCACTAGACTGAGCTCTGAATGACTTTTGACTCTTAAAAAAATCAATCTACCTTAAAATGAAGTTTTGCTACAATTAATTTTTTCATGCCATAAACATGTATTGAGTGCCTACAGTAAGTAGGCACTCAATACTGCTAGATATTTTTCTAGGCCTAGTAAACAAATTGAGGATATTTCTGCTCTCATGGAGGTTATATCTAGTGATGGGCTTTAAGTATGTTTTTTAAAAATATGTGCTAATAGAGTTGGTAAACGATGGCATCATTGAAATGAATCTGTAGTAAGAGGACTAATGTAAATAAATAGTGGCCAGCCAAGATGAAGGCATAGGTAGAAATATTGTGCCTCCTTGCACAACCAAATTTAAAGACAAAAAGGATTTAGAAACAAAAATGCAACCAAACAGACAGAAAAGCAAACTGTACCAAAGTCCATCAACAAGGTATTCATCCAGACCAGTAAGAGGGGTGGAGTCTGCATAGAGGGGTCCTGGCAGGAGGAGGCAGTGATTAGTGACCCGGGCGGGCACAGATGGAAACCTAGTAAGGCTTGCAAGGCGGCTGGCTGACCACGGACACACACTTGTGCACAAATGAACCAGGCAGTTTTAAAAACGGTCAGTGAGACAGATCATGCAACCCAGGGCCCCAGCAATGGGAAATATAGCCTAAAAGCACCAATTAGAAAAACTTTCAGGGGCTGAGGTGCTGGGAAAGGCTCTTAGCCCCACAGGAGAGTTCGTTGGGGAGACCCACAAACGAACACAAGCTCGCCCACCCACCAAGGAACCAACACCAGAAGGGCCCAATTTGCTTGTGAGAAGCAGCAAAGGACCAAAATCCGAGAGAGAGCAGAGTAAGTGCCATTTCTCCTCTGACCCCGCCCCCAGGCACAACCCAGCGACTGGGCTGACCCTCCCTGTGAACACCTGAGCCCCTGCCCCTCATACATAACAGGCACAAATAAACCAAAACATTATAGCTCAAGCAGAAGAACAGCTCAAAGCCCCAGAGCCAATACTTCTAAGCGACAAAGAGATAGCGGACCTATTGGATGCACAGTTCAAAACACTGGTGATCAGAATGCTCACTGAACTGGTTGATTTTAGTCCCAAATTAGATGAAAAAAAGAAGGCTACACTAACTGAAATGAAGCAAATTGCTCAGGGAACCAATAGTGATGGAAACAAATCTGGGACTAAAATCAGTGGAGTGGACCAGAAGAAAGAAAGAAACAACTAAACAGAAAAGAATAAAGAAGCAAGAATTCAAAAAATGTGAGGAGAGGCTTAGGAACCTCCAGGACATCTTTAAACATTCCAACATCCAAATTATAGGGGTATCAGAAGGGGAAGAGGAAGAGGAAGAACAACAAGTAGAACACTTATTTGAACAAATAACAAAGGAGAACTTCCCCAATGTGGCGAAGGAAATAGACTTCCAAGTAGTCCAGGAAGCTCAGAGAGTCCAAAAAAAGTTGGACCCAAGGAGGTACACACCAATGCACATCATAATTATATTATCAAAGATTAAAATGAAGGAGAGAATTCTAGAAGCAGCAAGAGATAAGGGGACAGTCACCTACAAAAGTGCCCAACAGACTGTCAGCTGATTTCTCAAAAGAGACCTTACAGGCAAGAAGGGGCTGGAAAGAAATATTCCAAGTCATGAAAGGCAAGGACCTACATCCAAGATTGCTCTGTTCAGTAAAGCTTTCATTTAGAATGGAAGGGCAGATAGAGTGCTTCTCAGATAAGGTCAAGTTCAAGGAGTTCATCATCACCAAGCCCTTATTATATCAAATGTTCAAGGGACTTATCTAAGAAAAAGAAGATAAAAAATATGAACAGTGAAAGGACAGCAAACTCACAGTTATTAAGAACCACACCTAAAACAAAAGCAAACTAAGAGGACAGCTAGATCAGGAGCAGAACCATATAAATGAAGATTACATGGAGGGTTAGCAACAGGGGAGTGGGAGGAGGAGAAGGGGGAGAAGGTACAGAGAATAAATAGTATAAATGGTAGGTAGAAAGTAGACAGGGGTGAGGGCAAGCATAATATGGGAAATGTAGAAGCTAAAGAACTGTGACACATGGACATGGACTAAAGGGGGAGAATGGGGAGGAGGTGGAGTGCAGGGTGGAGGGGAACAAAGGGGGGAAAATGGGACAACTATAATGGCATAACCAATAAAATATATTTAAAAATAAAGTAAATAGTGAATGTTTGGGTGTAAAACTGGTAGTAAATTTGTTTAAAATCTTTTACAATATTTTAAAATTTTATTTATTCATCACTATATATACACATACATGTATAGATAGATGTGTATTGTTCAAGGAAGAGTTAATTAGATTAAGTAAGCTTAGCAATATTAACCATTTCCATGTTGGGTCCCATGTTTGAATCTGAAGCTGCATTTTAAAGGAAGAAAGAGAACTGACAATGACAAAACTTACATATTGTTTAGCACTTAGTCACATGGACATTCCTAGCTGCAAGAGAGCCTGAGAAATGTAATCTTTATACTGGACAACTACGTACCCAGATGAAAGTTAGAGAATCTATTATTGTTAAGGAAGAAGGAAAAAAATAAATAAATATAAAGGACAGCAAATAGTCCCTACAATAGTGGGAAAGAATATAAACAAATGATTGATCATGATAATACATGGTTGTCAGATTGCATAGAATAGAGAATGTAAATTTGAATATGTAAGAAAATGTGAGCAGATCATTGAGAGTACTCAGCACAGTTCATTAAGGACATAATGAACAGTATTTGGAAATTTCAATTTGATATAACTAGCAACCAGGAACCATTGTAGGCCTTGGAGAACAGAAGGAATGTTTAGCTTAAGTCACAGAACTTGGCTCTCTTATTACTGAAAACAGCTGTTGGTGGAAGATAATTTTTATTGCT